GTATTCCTTCTGTTGTCTGTCCCTCCAGAGCTCCCACAGCAACATGTCTTTGTGGAAGAGGCGGTTCCTGCTGACCAGCAGCTCTGTAACCAGGAGAGGAGCACCAGTCCGGACCAAGTGGACCCAGAGCCTCTACAGATTAAAGAGGAAGAGGAAGAACTCTGCACCTACCCAAAACATGACCAGCAGCTCCTCTATTACAGCTCTCATGTAGCTGAGAGCCGAGATGAGAAAGGAGGCAATTATGGAGCCTCAGGGTCAGAGCAAAACAGTCAACATGAAGGTCACAGTAGCAATGTTTACAACCTTAACATGTCAGGGATTGGACATAACACTCACACAGCTCAAAATTCTTTCAAATGTGACACTTGTGGAAAAGAGTTTAGGATTAAGTCAAGACTACAGAGACACACGAGAGTCCACACAGGGGAGAAGCCGTATTCCTGCATAACATGTGGGAAAGATTTCAGATTTAGCAGCGGCTTAAAAGTCCACATGAGAACGCACACAGGAGAGAAACCGTACCTTTGCAACACCTGCAGGAAAAGGTTCGTTCATATGCAAGGATTAAAAAAGCATAATCCCACAGTCCACACAGATGAGAAGCCATACTTGTGCAAAATATGTGGGAAAACCTTCAGTTGGAAGCCAGACGTGAAAATTCATTCGAGAATCCACACAGGGGAGAAGCCATATGTCTCCAACACATGTGGGAAAAGATTCAGTCAGTCGTCAGTACTTAAAACTCACCTCAGTATCCACACGGGGAGAGAAACCATATTCATGTCGGGTGTGTGGGAAAGATTTCCGAGTAGTACATTGTTGGTGCACATGAGAATCCACACAGGCAGGAAGCCATCTATTTGAACAACATGTGGGAGAGCTTTCAGACTAAGTGGGGACTTGATAGTAGTGATGGCAGTGCAACACTGAAGCTTCGATACGTGCTTCAAACCCTGAACTACAATTCCATAGAACCACTTTATAACCGCAAATGTGAAGAAATTGTGAGCAAGAAAAGAAACCAGCTCAACCCAAAAACATTTGAATAAATGATGTACCATAATAAAAACCCTTGAGTGTTCCCCATCCCCCCCGCCATAGTTACACAAGCACACCCAACCTATGCTATATTTCCAAGAATTCTCTCCTCAATAACACAATACACACATTCATCATCTTTATTTGTAAATAGAACATAATATAGATAAGAATTTTCAAAGCAAAGATACTTTAAATCCAAGGGTGATCAAAGCAAAGATGCTTCAGAACAAAAGGTGTTTTCTACAGTTTTTCCAACGCTGCTCATTAAGGTGTGTGTTGTGTGTGTGTGTGTGTGTGTGTGACAGAGAGAGTGCGTGCGTGTGCGCATGAATGCCTGTATGTAATTAAAAGCCTCCTGTCCACCAACCAGCCTGCCTAATTTGACTGCAGCCTTGCACTTTGCCAGGAGAGGTCACTGTAACTGAAACTTCGAGTAATGAACCCATTTTCGAAACAATTGGCTCAAGTGGTTCAGTGCTTCACAAAAGCTTCATTTGCCCATCACTACTTGATAGTCCACATGAGGACACACTCTGGTGAGAAGCCGTACCTTTGCAAGACCTGCGGGAAAGATTCTTAACCACTTCTCATTCGGCAAATCATATAAGATCACATACAGGCAAGTAGTGACACAATTCAGTTCTAGCAGTTTATGGTCAAAACGCAGAAGTGAGGAACCAAATTGTAGACCTTTTTCACATCAGCCAGTTTGATTAAGTAAACATGGATGTTACTAATTATACTAATTAAGGTTCCATTTGGGTCAGAGTCAGGGTGCAGCTGTTGTGCATGTTGGCTCACTGGAAAGGTAGTAGTAGTAGTAACACCTGTGTTTACCCTACTGTTTCATGTCAGAATTGCTGCTGTGAAAAAGGGCCTACAATAGCCCTTGTGGGAAAAGTTTTAACTCAAACCACATAGTTGAAAGAACACATAAAGAGCAATTTACTCAGGAGAAACCATCGAGCTGAAGCTCCTGTAGGGACGTTTTCACCTACTGAGTGAAATCCACTTTTGCCAAAGCTTTAATTGAATGTAAAATATTTTCTATAAGAAGGTTATTTGACGTTATCTTGGCGTTAAGTTTCCCCTCATGTGATTGCAGTATTTCTTTGAAGCAGTCGTGATCTCCCAAATGGAGGAAAATGTTAATGCTTGTGGTGTAAAAAATAAAATAATAGTGTAATGTTGTTGTTTTTGCTGACTTTCTATTTATGAAGCATCTCAGAATCACTTGTAGTTTAAAGTTGGAACATGGACTTGATGATGGACGGATGCATCACAGTGACCTCTGGTGGTTTGTAGGACTTACAGCAGCTGAAGCTCTACAACACCTCTGAGTTTTCTTTAAGTGCTGCATTTAAATGTTACTGTAAAGATGAAAGTACCTTATTGGAGTAGTTCACACCCAGTGTCACTGTGTTTTCACTTTATGGTTGTTTACATTTTATATGAGTCGTAATGTGATGTAATATTCACTTGTATTACATTGTTTCTTGGGATCAGGTGGAAATGTTCCTGTACATTTCTCAAGTAATATCTCCTCTTATCTTATAGTTCAGCTGCAAAATTTAAAACTGAATGAAGCTCTTTCTAAAGCTTCAAATGTCATCAGTCAGTTGGTATTAATCATTTGACACAATGTATTGTAACAGTATATTCACAGGCACTTCAGTATGATCCAGCCATCTCTACAAGGACTTAAAATCAAAGTAATATTTGATAAGATGTTATTTAGGAAGCCTCCTACACATCTCTGCAGATTTTACATTTCAGAGCAACTAACATCACTGTTTTATATTACCATCACCATGTAAGAAGTCCTATTAAATGTGAATGTGTCTTCTTTTAACTATTTTTATACACTACCTCACTTCTTACTTATGTGTCTGACAAACAGATAAAAGGACCTCATTTTTGGGCATTTCTGATGACAACTTAAAAGATAAAATTACTATCAGAATAGTTGCTGGTTGATGCCAGTTAACTAAGAGACTCAGTATGAACTAGAAAGGCAAATGCCAAAACCCCAGGAGAGATATCACCAAAGCAGTAGTCACACTAACAATGTATATAACCCTACCATGTTCAAGACTCACTGTAACACTCATTCAGGTAAAAAGTATTTCAAATATATAAAGTATAAGTCCCAAATAGGGAGACACCAAATAAATGAGAGGCTGTATACTTGCAAAACATGCAGAAGAGGTTCAGGTAAGTTAAAGTTGTTCACATTCTTTCTGGGTGTGTCTTTATATAGTATATTTAATTTGAGTCACAGCATTTTTCAGAACAATCACTCTTTTATATCTTGGGAATCGTGAATGCACAGTTCTAATAACGGTGTGATGTGATAGACAAAGGTCAAACATTTTTCAAAAAAATCAGTGTCTTGTGGGGTTTGTCGGTAGTTTTATTGTGAAATCAGTTCAAAAGACTGATCTAGATACAGTGTGATGGAAATAAATCGAAATATTTATATGATAGTGAAAGTTATATATAATTATGTGGCGCCGGCAGCAACCATTCTGCATTATGATTAATTTAACATCTCTTACTTAAAATATGTTTTACTAATAATACTATTGGAAGATTTAAAATCCGTTTCTGTCTTGTCAGAGTTGGTGGTCAAAAACCAGAAAATAAGATATTAATAAGGAATCTGTTAGTCAACACTTTGTTTGAAAACAGCTATCATCCGATACACCAATATGCCTGAGGCCTTTCTCTTTTTAGAATTCTACAACAACACATTTACTGTAACCAAAACTACAGGATGCACATACATTTACTCAAATTGATATTCAACCTCTCTCTAATTACTAATTTTCTTGACATATTGACAAATTGTTCTTCGACCACAATTCCTTTGTTTTTATGCAAAATCATTATCTGCAAAGTAACAAAAAATACTGTTAGTCCAAAGTAGTAGTTAAGAAAAAAAGTACCAAATGATATTATTCTTATTGTTTACTTCTGCTGGATGTTAAGCTCCAAACTTTTTGTTCCGCTTTCACTTGATGGTATTTTATTCAAAATTTGTGTTTCTGCATAAAAAAACAACGATGCAGCAGTGGAAGAAGTATTGAGATTATTTCAGTAGAAAGACCACAGTGTAACTCATGGTGGGTATAAAATGTTATGTTATGTCAGAAGTAGTATCAGCAAAATGTATCTAAAATAAAACATGTTAAAATAGTCATTTTGTAGAACTGTGGATGCCATAATGTGTTAATATCTGTTATGTAGCAGCTAGTTGAGGTGGAGCTCAGTTTCACCCATTTTACAACTTGTTGGATAGTTTAATAATACATCCTAGTTTATAGGCTCATTAGACCTTTTTATACGTTAACCTGCAAGGTAACTATTGTCACTACAGCTGTTAATTATAAATATATAAATATTATAAATATTCTTGATTAAAATGGGGTGAATAATTCAAATTCAAATGTTAACATCTACACAAGTGTTGCTCTTTTCAGTTTTTAATCAAATGTCATGAGTAAATAGAGAGAGGCTGAATATATATATTCACTTTCCATGACAATAGTATTATTAGTAAAACATATTTAAAGTAAGAGATGTTAAATGAATCATAATGCAGAATGGTGGCTGTTCTGAGAAACGCAGTTGCTCAAATATACTTTAACATAAATAAATACAAGAATGGACCAATCGCCAAAACTGAGACGTTCTATATCTTTTTACTGAACTGAACCTTTTCCATGTCTTTTACAAGTAAACGGCTTCTCATCTGTGTGGGTCCGACTGCGCCTGAAACCTCTGTGCTGCAGTGATACAGCTTTTCACTTGTGTGAGCTCTCATGTGGCTTTTAATGTTACTGCTAGACCTGAAATCTCTCCCACGCTTTTCAAGTATATGGTCTCTCACCTGAATCAGTTCAGATCGTGATGCAGCCTCCAGTACACACACAGAAGACATGGTTGGCTCTATATTCATTTATCGTTTATATTTATTCTACACATTTTTATAACACTTTATATGAATGTACATGCTGTTTTTTTCCTATAATAATGGTTTTGCGGTTTTGAGCCTGGAGAAATGACACATAGTGAACAAACAGTTTGACAATTCATGTGTACATGTGTAATCCACATTCCACAAATACATAAAAAGATCTGTAAATACACAAAAAACAATCTTCCCAACATTTACAACTTTCAAACTGGCATTTGTGAATCCAGTTTTTTTTTTGGTGAATCGAAAGGTTCCTGTTGGCTGAAGGAGGGTTCGATCAAAGCCAGTGGGCAAGTAATCAACCAACTGTGGTAGTCCATTAGTCTTACAACACTCACAATCCGGCAGACAACACTGGCATCTGGTTGCACCACAGCATTGGAGTGGCTCCAATCAGACTCATACAGCTTTAAGGTCTTTGTTGCATTTTAGAGATACAGGAGCTGACCGACCGTCAGGCTTGGCAGTGCGTAGACACCCAGAACAACCCAGCTGACAACATAACCAGAGGTAAGCCACTCCTGGCTCTGGCAGAGCTTAGTCATTGGAGTCAGGGTGCCCTGTTTCGTAAGCAGAGTGATGAACGCTGGCCAAAGACGCCTGAGCATGCGACATCAGTGCACTCATCAGGATTGAAAGCGCTAATCAATCATCACCTTCTGCATCAAAGACATGGATGAACATCTGCCTCACCCCGGCACAGACCGGGTGTATGCAGAACTGCAAAGGTAGCATTGGATCTTGTAAGTATGGCAGGCCATCGGACACCACCAACTCAACAGCCCATCCTGCCGGAGAACGAAGAAGTGTTGGTTCAAATGGTGGCCACAAGGTCAGTGGTTCCCAACCTTTTTCCTTAAAGGACCCTTTTCTGTAATTTATTAAACTGACCATCCCTGACTATGAAGTGACTATATTTTATGGATATTTCATATTATATTTAAAACTGTACAATGAACCCGAACAGTGAACTCAGTAACTACAACTGATTTGTGTAAAATGGGTGATTAGGATACATTTTGAGCAGATTATTTCATGTTTTTATACTTTTTATACAGTTCTGTCTGTATTATGTATTTAAATACATACATACTTAATAGGCTTCTTTTCTGATAAATGACAAGTTTTTTTGTCCCTGATACTTGGCCATTGTTCTATTAGAGGACCAGTGTGTAGGATTCAGTGGCATCTTGAGAGTAAGTTGCAGATTGCCCCCATTTGAATACAGCTCAGCCTTCCAAGCGTGTAGGAGAAACTATGGTAACGAAGCCAGTGTTTGGTTTGTCCGTTCTTGGCTACGGTAGAAACATGGCAGTTCAATATGGCGGCCTCCATGGAAGAGGACCCACTCCCTCCGTAGATAAAAACGGCTCATTGTAAAACACAATTCTTATTTTCAGCTGATTATACACTAATGAAAACATACCTATGAATATTATGCTCAATATCTGCCAATAGATCCTCCTAAATGTTACAAACTGGACCTTTAAAATCAGCAAGTTGAGCTTGAGCTGAACGCAAACAAACGCAAAATATGGCTATGAAATACACAAATATGATATAAATAAATGAGGCAATAAACATATAAATGGCTAATTATACTTTAGTGTTCGACGGATATGGGTTTTTCAATGGCCGACGCTGATATTTAGAGAGCAGTGCGACTGAAGGCCGATATGTAATGCTGATATTAAAACAAAGAAAAGTCATGTATCATTCCATGCACAATAAACCTAGTTATCTTAGTCAGTAACTTGTTAAAATTAAATTTTTATTAATGAAACAGATAAATACATTGGTTAATGCCATAGATTACAGAATGTGAATATATTTAAAGAAGAACGGGGTTATAGTATGTCTAATGACATAATTCAACTACATTATTATAACATCATATTTATATTTATATTTTTAAATATATATAAAACACTAGTCAGTAATGGGTTTAGATTAGATTAGCTTTCAGTTAGGATGTGAGAAAAGTGTTAATATTTAGAAAAGATGAGGACATTTAAGCAAAGGTTTACAGCAGGATAGATGGCTGGAAACTAAATTTTTTCACCACCTTCCCAAAAACTCACAAAGGAGAACGCTAACATTGTTCTACAGCATCGGTAGATTGATGCCAAAAAGGCAAAATAATCGACTGAACGATGAATCGATCTATCTAGACTTCAATAAATGAATATTTTTTTATATGTAAAAAAGGATGACGATTTATTTCAGGGGACTTTAATTTCCCAGTTTTTTTTATGCCCTGAAATCCTCTCCATTTCACTCAGGAACGTCTCTACAGGAGACCCCCTCGTCCCGTTTATATTGATCCTAGGGTGTTTTTTCAAGTGTGATTTGAGTAAAATGTTTTGCACAGTACAATCACCTACAAGAGGTTTTCTGTGTTTTGACCGCAAAACACTAGAACTGAATCACGTGCCACATATTTTACAACTGCAAAGCTACTTTGCTGTGTGTTCTTATATGTTTTGCCAAATGAGACGCGTCAAAGTATCTTTTCCCACAGATCTTGCAAGGGTACGGCCTCTCGCCAGTGTGGGCTCTTCTTATGTGGACTGTCAAGTAACTGCCAAATCGGAAATCTTTCCCACATGTTTTGCAGGAATAGGGCTTCTCTCCTGTGTGGATTCTTATATGCCTTTTCAATCCCGCCAGCTCACCGAATCCTTTCCCGCAGGTCTTGCAAAGATACGGCTTCTCATCTGTGTGCGTTCTCATGTGGACTTTCAAGACACTGCTAAATCTGAAATCCTTCCCGCATGTTATGCAGGAATACGGCTTCTCACCTGTGTGGATTCTTATGTGCTTTTTCAAAGCAGGCATGTCACCGAACCTTTTCCCGCAGGTGTTGCAAAGGTACGGCTTCTCTCCTGTGTGGATTCTAACATGCTTTTTTAATCCGGGCATGTCACTGAATCTTTTGCCACAGGTATTGCAAAGGTACGGTTTCTCTCCTGTGTGCGTTCTCATGTGGACTTTTAAGCCGCTGCTAAATCTGAAATCTTTCCCGCATGTTATGCAGGAATACGGCTTCTCCCCTGTGTGGACTCTCGCGTGTCTCTGCAGTTTTGAGTTATGCCTAAACTCTTTTCCACAAGTGTCACATTTGAAAGAATTTTGAGCTGTGTGAGTGTTATGTCCAATCCCTGACATGTTAAGGTTGTAAACATTGCTACTGTGACCTTCATGTTGACTGTTTTGCTCTGACCCTGAGGCTCCATAATTGCCTCCTTTCTCATCTCGGCTCTCAGCTACATGAGAGCTGTAATAGAGGAGCTGCTGGTCATGTTTTGGTTCTGGTTCATTGTAGTCACTTTCCTCATAAGTAAACATAAATGTATCAGTCTCTTGCTTTAGGTCAAGCTGCTCTACATGCTGACTGGTGCAGAGTTCCTCCTCTTCCTCTTTAATCTGTAGAGGCTCTGGGTCCACTTGGTCCGGACTGGTGCTCCTCTCCTGGTTACAGAGCTGCTGGTCAGCAGGAACCGCCTCTTCCACAAAGACATGTTGCTGTGGGAGCTCTGGAGGGACAGACAACAGAAGGAATATATATATATATTATTACTATATATAATATTTTTGTTGTCATAATAATAGTGATGGCCGATTTGGTTATAACAATTCAATTAAATGTTATTTGTATAGCGCCATAACACAAGTTATCTCAGGACACTTTTCAAATAGAGCAGTTCTAGACCGAACTCCTTATAACATTATTTACAGAGACCCAACAGTACCACCACGAGCAAGCACTTGGCGACGGCGGCAAGGAAAAACTGCTTTTTAAGAGGCAGAAACCTCAGACAGACCTCTCCGCTCTAGGTGGGTGGTCGTCTGCCTCCACCAGTTGGGGAGAGAGAGAGAGAGAGAGAGAGAGAGAGAGAGAGAGAGAGAGGATAACAGAGGATATGTCCTTCAACTCCCACATAAAGCAAACTTGTAGGACTCCTTTTTTTCACTTACGTAACATCCTATCAGACAGATGCAGAAAAACTATTATCCATGAATCTGTTACTTCTAAACTGGATGACTCCTTATCATCAGGTTGCCCCTATAAGTCCATTTAGACACAAATAATTCAGAAGGCTGCAGCGTTAGTACTGACAGGAACTAGAAAAAGAGATCATATCTCTCCTTTATTCGCTTCTTTGCACTGGCTCCCTGTAAAATTCACAACAGAAATCCTCTTCCTCACCTACAAAGCTCTTCATGGTCAGACTCCTCCATGTCTTAAAGAGCTCACAGTACCCTCTTACCCCACTAGAACACTGTGTTCTCTGAATGCAGGGCTACTTGTGGTTTGTGTTCAGGAGGCAGACACCCTCTCCACATGTACGAGTAGGCTTAAGACGTTCCTGATTTTACTGATATTAATATTATTCATTAATTCCCCGTTATTGTGGCTATTGTTGTCGTTGTCATGGTTTCCATCATCACTATTAGTCATTTCTACTAGTATAGTTGTTGCTGTGCACGTTTGTCTCTGTCTTTGTCCTTCTCCCTGTACCACCCACACACTCACCCCTCTCCCCCCCCCCTCTCACCCTCCCCCTCTCTAACCCCAACCGGTGGAGGCAGACGACCACCCACCTAGAGCCGGGCCCTGCTCCAGGTTGCTGCTTCATAAAAGGAAGTTTTTCCTCTCCGCCATTGCCAAATGCTTTCTCATGGTGGAAACATTTGGGCGTCCGTAAATAATCTTATATGGAGTACGGTCTAGACTGCTCTATCTGAGATAACTCTTGTAATATACAAATACAATTAAATTGAATATTAAATTATCAATTGCTCACTTGTAGCTACAGCTAAAGCCTCTCTTACCCTCTGGTGTGTAGACACTGCTGGTTGTTACCTTATTTTTACAATACAAAAATCTGAGCTGATTGGTTATCTTATCGATATTGGCCATGAGAAGCAGCTAACGATCGGTTAACGTATTGGAAGAAGAAAAAAAATCCGTATCGATCAACATCATCATCATCATCATCGTATAGATATAACAGCGTTACTACCGGGATGGTGGAAAAATGCAGACATGCGAGCCAGTTAGTAACAGTGACTAAACCTCCTCTATCTCACGTTATAGATGTAATAAAGTCGTACACACCTATCCTGTGTAACTTGACTTCAGGTTTGCAGAAGACATCCAGCAGTCTGCGCTGACGATTGATCTCTTCTTCGTACTCGACGATAGTTTTTATAAAAACTCCGAATATCTCTTCAGCAGCAGCAGTCAGTCGCTCGGTGACAAACTCTCTCAAACACTCGACTGAAGACATTGTTGTTCAATTACAAATGAGCTCATTAGCTGCACTGCGGCTACAATGCAGTCTCCCAGCTCATTGAGCAGCGACACACAGCTAACACTGCTAGCGACTGGGTTGTTTACTTCCGCTCGGTGTCACGCTGTTAAGTTCCGACAGCGGAAGTGAGGGCATTTAATTCAAAACTTGAGTGTTTACTGTCAGTAGCAAGGATCTTCACAAGCACATTTGCTACTCTCTTCTTAACAACTACTCTGAACTAACAACCACCTGTTTGTGTTATTAACAGATGAGTGATTGTTTCTGTAGAAGTACCTCAGTGTAATTCACGGTGTATACAAAAGGTCAGTAAAGCAAAAGAGCCACTGGAGTATTATTTGCTAAATATATTTAAAGTAAGAGACATTAAATGAATCATCATGCAGAATGGACTGTCAGTGCTACTGCATTTACTACCACCGTAATACATAGCAGCACCTGTCAATGTCAACTAATCAGAGCAATCAGAAGAACAGGTAGTAAATAATAATAAGAAAGAGATAGTAAAGTAATCTGAAGTTATTTAAAGCGATAATATCTTAATTAATAAACAACAAAAACAAAACAGTCATATCTCATACTGTAGCTGTTATTGCTTTCATTACACTGTCACCACTGTTCATTTCAAGAGTACCCTCCAAAAAAGTCTAAATTGCTCTAAAAGTAGATGTCAATAAATACAGTTACGGCTTAACTGTTGTGTTCAGTGAACTTTAAAGTTTATTGAGCACCTAAAGTTAGCTGGGCTAAAATACATTGATAAAACATTATTCATTAAACTGTATCTCATTCCAGAAGAATCTGAATCATATCAGAGTCATGGCAGGATGTTTTACACTCATTGTTGCTGTTTTCAGTTTTCATCAGTTACCAAGGGAGGTTAAAATAAATATGTTATATTTAACTAAATTTAAAGTTGAAGTATGTAATATTTAGGAGGATCTATTGGTAGGTGTGTTTTCATTCATGTATAATCATCTGAAAATAAGAATTGTGTTTGAGCCGTTTTTATCTACAGAGGGAGCAAGTCCTCTTCCACGGGGTCCGCCATGAAGATCCAACATGTAGTAGGCCAGAATGGAAAAAAACAAACACTGGCCTTTTGGGGCCTTTTGTAGTTTCACAGCTGCTGTAGTTTCTCCTTTGCACTTGGAAAGCTGAGCTTTATCTAAATAGTTGCAACCTGCTATTTAACTGCTAGGTGCCACTGAATCCTACAGACTTGTCCTTTAACTAAGATTTATGCTACATTAGATATCAGCAGAAGAGACGTAAGAGGCAGTTTGTTGAATGATTAATTAAAGTGGAAGAAAGTACTTAAGTATCTCACACACAGTGAAAAATCTACTATATCAAAATACTGTGTTTTTTTACACCAGATTTTTTACTTTTCCATCTCTCTCTGTAGTTCCTCCCCATGGACTGAAAGGAGGAAGCACTGCAAGTTATCCCAAAGATGGTGCACACATTGATGGTAAACTAACAAACAATTAACAGCAGTTCTTAAAAGGGAGCAGTATTATGCTTTTCATTATATTTTATTTTTCTGTCATATGTAATGTTAAAGTGTCGGATGTAAACTACAAAGCCATGAAGCTTGTACACTGAATGCTTGTGCACATTAAACAAGGCCAAGCTGCCAGATAATGAGGTAAACATGTGTAAAAGTAATCCTTGTGAGCAAAAAGGTGTCAGGGTACTAAAATCTGTTTTAAACCAAAAACCAAAGAAAAAACTGAAAGCGCACCAATTTTCCTGGCTCATTTTTGGTTTGGGTACTTTTAACCAATTAATTATTTTAAAATAACCAAAAACAAAATCACAATATATTCGATATATAGATAGATCTTTTTGGTTTTGCTCTTTTCATTTAGACATGAGGTATCTTTTATCCAAAAAGTTGTTTTAATAAATAGAGCATTATTGATACTATTAACTATAAGTGATCAGCCTTTGAGGGAGACAGCTTAGAAGGTGAAGGTGGCCCCAGAGAGAACCTATAGGGGCTCTCTAGGCTACGGTATGTTATTCACAAAGGTTACTTTTTTAGACAAATCTTGACTTTTCCATGTATGAGCTGATATCTGATATCTGATCGAGATTTCTTCTAAACACTGTCATTCCCTGACTGTAGGCGATTCGTATAAATGCACGAATCATTTGAATCATGAAAGTAAACCACCAACTGTTAACAATCTGAGGATTTTATCTAAGGTCCAATCTTTTTTTATTTTTTATTGATTTTGAAAGGGTTATACCTCAACCTGACTTGACAACTATAAAGTCCTCCTCTCATTTTAAGTGAGAGCACATTCCCCCATTCTGGCCTCACTTCACTGGCTCGCTGTACGTTTTAGAATGGATTTTAAGATTTTATTTGTTACCAGAGAGTACGCCCCATCTACCAAGGCCTTATGGCCTCAGTTGATTGATTCTAACCCAATGCCCATCGCTGCATGTTGTCCCCTCTCTCTTGCAGCCTTTCCTATCTGTCTTAAGCTGTCCTATCCAATAAAAGCTACACAAAGAAATAGAATAGACAAAAAAGATGTTACTGTTTACCTACAAAGCATTAAATGGGCTAGCTCCAACCTATATCTCCCATGAGGTCACTCAGGTTGGCTAAATCAAATGTCCAAGCAAAAACTGCCCCACATGAACAGGAATTTTGTACTGTAGATAACAGCAAACACCAAGCATAAATAAGTCTAACTGTATAACTGTTTGAACTCAGTCTGAGACAATGTTGTTTTTGTGACAGGAATCCCTCAGTTGAGCATGAGGGTCAGTCACCTCCGACCCCACCCCACTGCCTCTGTCCCTGCTGTCCAGCTGTTTGTGTCGCCTTCTCCAACGCTCCAAGGCAAGCTGACCAGAAATGATGGACTCCCAGCCAATTCTCCCCATTCACTCGCACACACACAAGCACAATAGCGCCATTAAATATTCACAAGCATCTCTTTGGTCTAGGAGAGGGGGACTGAGTGGGAGGCTTTACGAGAGAGAGAGAATGAGAGAGGGGCTGTGAGTTGACACTGCTGGCCTTAAAGATGCCTTAAAGATGTCTCGCCAGAGTGAATCGTGGATGGAGAGATTCTGCTTTGGAATAACCTGAAGAGGAGAAGAATGATGGAGGGATAACATTGTGGAGAAAAAGACGAAACAAAGGTACGGTCGACTGGGTGTGTATTGTGTAGCAGGCATGACACTTGATGCTGTTTGGCTCCATATGGCATGGCTAAGTTTGTGTGTGTGTGTGTGTGTGTGTGTGTGTGTGTGTGTGTGTGTGTGTGTGTGTGTGTGTGTGTGTTTGTGTACGGTACACATAGGCAAGTACTGGGTGTTTATAGAGTCATTTTATAGGACTTCTTTTCATTTAGTGCCATCAATATGTTGTTTAAAGCTATAGGCTGGATTTCTGAAAGTGACTTTAGATTTCAGTAAAAAGTAGTTCACCACGTAGCTCCTTTTAAACAAACCAAGTGTAGTCCATCAGCAACACAAGAAAATGTTTTTTTATTTGCCATACACCGAAGTTGACAGCGAAATAATTGACAAACTACTTTCATAATCAACTAATCGTTTAGTTAATTTTTCAAGTAAAAATGTTCCCCCTTTTCCCTCTTACTTTTCTTTGCTCTATATCATAGTAAACTGAATATATAAGGGGTTTTGGACTGTTAGTTGGATAAAAGAAAGCATCTGAAGATGTCATCTTGGACTCTAATCTAATGAGTTTCTATGAATCTTTTTCACTGCATGGTGTCTTACTGTACTGAAACATAAGAGCTTCTCTCTTGTCAGTGTTAGAACAATAATTGAGTGATGTTAAATGTCACATCATGTGGCCTACATGTTGTAAAAAAAAACCAGCTTAATTCCAAGTTGAAAGTCACTGCTACTAATAGGTTCATTTTCATGACATACAAGGCAGCACAGAAAAAAACACTGTGATTAATTTATTTATTTGACTAAACATCTTGTGAATTTTGATGGACTTGTATTAAGACTTGGTGGATGACAAACTGAGGTCATATGCCTTTAAGAACTACCAACACCTCCATGACTCTTAACTGCAGCACACTATGGTTAATTGACTGAAACCTAAGAGCTCCTGCCCTCTCGATTGAACGGCAATAATTACATGTCAGATATAATATTGTGGTAAAAATTGTACTAATTAGCTTACAATCCTCCTGGAAAATGCACAGCCATACAGTGCCTTGCTTGATATATATATTTTGGGGTTTTGCCCTTATTAGATGGACAGAAGAGAACAGACGTGATAAAAGGCCAGAGAGAGATTGGAGACTTGCAACAAAGTACCGTGGCCAGACTTGAACCGGGGTCGTTTCAGTTACATGGTCGCAGGATACCCTCTTTTAAATAGTAATTAGTTCACATCATGCATCACTTTTTTTGTATATAAGTAATTTAGGAGTTTAGAAATGGCAATTACTCTTCATCCTCAGGAGAGCTGAAAAGCCTCTTTTAAACCCAGATTTTGACCAGAGGCCAAAAGGACAGTGTTATATTAATACATTTTCTATTTTGATCGAGTACAAAAGAAACAAACCATAGAAAAAGATGACCACGTTTGAAAGATGTGATTAGTTTGTCTCTTCTGCCCTCTTCTGCTTCAGCCTGTTCATTACATGAAGCTGCTTACCTGAGTTGAGAATCAGGTTACCACAGTCTGTGGCCTGAATCATGAAAAAATAAAGATCAGAGGGAAACGTCTGACCTACCTTCAACTAACGATAGACTCACTGTGGGGTGAAATGTTTAAAGATTAATTTAGCTAAAGTGGACTGTAATAAAATGAGTGAAGGGGTAAACTGATATGAGGGCAACCATTTTAACCCCACTATAATAAGTACTATATAGCCCAGACTATAAGCCCTAAATTCTTAGTGTGGACAACTACTTCGTTGATGGTGTGCTAAAGGAACAATTTCACAAGCACTGACATGATATTTACAGTACAACAAGATGTTTTCTCAGCTTTTATTTTGGCGTGGTGTGGAGGCGGGTTTTCAGCAGTGATTGGTGGAGACAATGCTGGGCTGGATTCTCTAAG